CCTAATCATAGTTCTAGAATCGTTGAAATGGGAAATGCTAGATTTATTGAAAATGGTGAAGTTAGTGAGAGTGCTAAAGAGACTGTGGAAATTAGTGAAATAAGGGTTGATGTTCCATTACCCATTAATGTTCCAATATCCACAGTTGTACCAAATATTGTTCCACAACCACAAAATAATGGTGGACAAAATTTGGATGAAGTAGCACCCCATGAAGAGACTAACTTGCCACCAACTAATATAAATGAACCACGTGGAATAGCATTAAGCAAACCTACAAGGGTGAGAAGATCTGCTATTTCGGATGACTATGTGGTTTATTTGCAAGAGTTGGATTATGATACTAGCATTGATGAAGATTCTGTTTCGTTTTCACAAGCCATTAACAGTGACTTGTCTCGTAAATGGATTGATGCTATGAAAGAAGAGTTGAACTCTATGGCTAAAAACAATGTTCGGGATCTAGTAGAATTGCCAGAAAGTTCAAAACGAGTTGGGTGTAAGTGGGTCTTTAAGACTAAACGCGACTCAAATGGCAATATCGAACGACATAAAGCTAGACTTGTTGCCAAGGGTTATACTCAGAAAGATGGCATTGATTATAAAGAGACTTTTCACCTGTTTCTAAGAAAGATTCCTTGAGGATCATTATGGCTTTAGTAGCTCAGTATGATCTAGTGTTACATCAAATGGATGTGAAAACGGCCTTTCTTAATGGGGACTTAGATGAGGAAGTTTATATGGATCAACCCGAAGGTTTTTCCATAGAAGGAAAGGGTCACATGGTGTGTAAACTTAAGAAGTCAATATATGGACTTAAACAAGCTTCCAGACAATAGTATATTAAGTTTAATGATACCATCACGTCTTTTGGTTTTCAAGAAAACACTGTTGATCGGTGTATTTACCAGAAGATCAGTGGGAGTAAGTTTATATTTTTGGTTCTATATGTTGACGATATCCTACTTGTTGCTAATGATTTGGGAATTTTGCATGAGACTAAAGATTTTCTCTCAAAGAATTTTGAAATGAAAGATATGGGAGAAGCATCCTATGTGATTGGAATTTCAATATTCCGGGATAGATCACAAGGATTGTTGGGGTTGTCTCAGAAAGCATATATCGAGAAAATTCTTGAGAGATTTAATATGAACACTTGTTCACCAAGTGTTGTCCCATTACAGAAAGGGGACAAGTTTAGTCTTATGCAATGCCCTAAGAATGATGTGGAACGAAAGAGTATGGAATCAATTCCATATGCTTCTGTTGTGGGCAGTCTGATGTACTTGTAAACTTGCACGAGGCCTGATATTAGCTTCGCTGTTGGGATGCTTGGCCGATATCAAAGTAATCCTGGATTGGATCACTGGAAAGCTGCAAAGAAAGTGATGAGATACCTTCAAGGGACGAAGGATCATATGCTCACATTTAAGAAATCTGATCGCCTTGAGGTGATTGGATATTCAGATTCAGATTTTGCTGGATGCCTTGAAAGTCGCAAGTCAACGTTTGGCTATGTTTTTCTCCTCGCCGAAGGAGCAATTTCATGGAAAAGTGCCAAGCAGTCTGTCATAGCTGCATCTACCATGGAGGCTGAATTTGTGGCTTGTTTTGAGGCTACAATTCATGCATTATGGCTGCGGAACTTTATTTCGGGACTTGGGGTTGTCGACACCATTACCAAGCCGCTGAAATTGTATTGTGATAATTCCGCAGCAGTTTTCTCCTCCAATAATGACAAATATTCCAATGTTGCAAAACACATGGAATTAAAGTAATTTGTCGTTACGGAGGAAGTTCAGAAACAAAGAGTGTGCATTGAACATATTATAACGGACATTATGATTGTCGATCCGTTAATTAAAGGTTTACAACCAAAGACATTTAAAGGACATGTACATATAATGGGTCTTGGTTGTACTGATGATTGATTATGATGATGTTATGGCACACTCTTGAGCTCATTGATGTTATGTTTCTGACTATTATCGAATTTCTTGTTCATTATGATTTTGTATACATTATGTTTAGAACAAGAAATGAATGTCTTAATGACAATTAAGTGGACATTATGATATTTATATATAATTATGGAACTTCATGTGTTGAACTATTAGTGTAGTAGTATATGGAAGGAAGTATGCGAATCGAGAGTGTACAACCACCATAACTCTCACTATATGGTTTATCATGTCATAGTTTGTTATGATGTATGGCATAATGAGATTTGTTTATGCGCACCTACTGTTATACCATTATATTAAGGACTTTCGGACCAAGTGGGAGAATGTAAGAATTATGTGGCCCGAAAGTATTGGGCTTACAATTAATTATCCTATTGGGCTAGGTCTTTAATTAATGGTCAAACAAATCTAAGCTATTAATCTGGATACTTGATGGACGTACCAGATATAAAGCCATCTCTATATAAATTAGTCCTCTCTCCTCCTATTAGGGTACGCAGTATTTTCCCATCAGTTTTTCTGCTACGTTAAGAGAAGGACAGGAGGGAGAAATTAATTTAGTCCTAACAATCGATCAAGCCTCTCGTAATCATCAAGATCAAGATCACTAATTATGTCGTCTTCCACATCAAGTAAGTATTTCGTATACACCAAATTATTTATTCAAGATCCTTCATGAAGTTTACAACCAAAACTTTGTGTTGTTGTTTTTGTATGATCTATTTTATTTAGAAAAACAAATCAAAAATTTCTTACAAGCTTTAAAAAAAATATTTCTTCTAAAGAAAATCGGTGCAGTGATAGTGTTGTCGTATGGAATTTAACAACGATAATAATATGTAATTAAGACGTAAAGCGTAAAGATGTTGTATTATTTCTTTGTATTTGTGAAATACAAGATGTCGGTATATGTATGAACCAAGCTAGTTCACACGTGTGTATTAAATATGCGTCTAAAAAGATCTCCGTACAATAATGAATTCTGCTATTTATAGTAGTTTGTGTTTGACTTCCGATACGAGGTAGGTGTGGTCGCATTTAATGCAAAGTAGCTTTATGAAGCGGTATGTCGGTCAGCAGGTGACGAGCAATGATTGCGGTATGGCACGTGGTCCCATCATGCGGACGCCTTGTCACCTGCTTCGGGCTTCGGTCATCTCGGACCTTGGTTTGTTTGTGATGAGAACCTTCGGAAAAGAAAGTTGAGAAGTCTGTTGTTTGCCTTGAACGCGAAGTCGGTTCGCGATTACGTGTAAAATCAGTTTGATACTTAACTCGAACCGAGTTGCGTCGAGTTAGGCGTATGAGCCGGTGTGAGCAATAATCTTTAAATAATACTTACAAATCTTCACCATAAACCTTGTTAATCAGGTCGGTTATCAACATATAGTTAAAAAGAATTCTATGCACAAGTATCACCAGCATTTTTAGTCGATTTATTACAGAAAGAACCACATATCCAAAATCAATAAATTATGTCATTTTGTTCATTTTATCATTGGATTCAAAAGAAGGCCCAAATTAATATTGCTTGATTGAGTTACAATTTTTTTTCAAATCTTCCGGAGATGAATTGTTTTCCTATGGATGAAATGAAATTTCTCAACTTCAAAATATTAAGAGATATAAATAAATAAATAAATAAATAAATAATAAAAAGTGAAGTTGCCTTGTCATCACCATACAATGGGCCCAATTTGTTTGACACTCCCATCAATCAACACATTTAAACCAATGGGCCTTAGAAGGCTAAAAGTACAATCTTAGCCTTTAGGCAACCTTTTCCCTCCCAAAAAAAGTCATAATAATGTCCAAACCAGACTACCCACCCAAAGTCCCTGCACCAGCACCACACACAATCACACACACCTAAAATTCCTTTTCAAATTCACCCAAAAATTGAATTTTAAATCCAAAATTGTAAAAACAAATTCAGACAGAGCAAAGCCCCCACATTCTCCTATCCATCTTCTTCCTTACCCTATAATTAAAAAAAAAAAAAAAAAAATTGAACCTTCCATAGGAACACGGCGGCGCGTGAGAGGGTTTTTGCCTGAGGTTTTATGGTCTGTTCGGAATTTTCAAGGTACGATTTTTCCCCATTTTTTTATGTATTTGTTCTCATTTTCTTTTCGTTTTTCGATTTGAACTCGAAAAGGTATGACATTTGGTTTTTCTTCTCTGGATTGAATGCAACACAGTGAAATGGTTTTCGAGTTTTTTTTTATTTCTCGTTTTCCATTTTCTTTTTTTTCTTGTTTTTCATGTTTTCATTAGTTTTTTTTTTTTCTTCGCGCAGCCATTGTAATAACCATGACCTAGGTTTTTTTTTGTTGGGGATGAATGAATGTCTGTGTGAAGATACAGTTGCGTCTCGTGAAACGACGTCGTAATGGGTTAAGGTCGTAGATGACCGACTTTTAGAATTTAGGATAAAAGAGAAAGGATGAAAAGTAATAATTTTAATTTTTTTTTTTTAATAGCAGAATTTGGTTATGAGAGATTTTTTTTTTTTCTTGACCATTTTATTTGATGAAATGAAATACTGCAATTTATGCCAAATTTACTTTAATTGGCTAAAGTAAAAAAAAAAAAAAAGCATTTTCATTATAATTTAATAAATACATTACTATTATTTGTAATAAGATTCCATTTCCATCAAATATTATGAATTTATGAGTCATTTTTTTATTTGGTAAAAGTATAATTAAAATGAGTCATATCGAAATTCGACATGATTTTTGTAGACATAACAAGAGGATTGTGATTGAACTGCCCATTTTGTTGGCAATAATATAGAATAAAATATCAATCAAAAATTTCATTCTGTTCACTGCCCATTTACTTACCTTTTATAGTTGCACAATTTTATTGAACTGCAAAGTTGGTTCTTGATCCTTGAAACAGAACAAGAACAACATGGTTTGTTTCCATTCTCATGTTGCAGCGTATTTTGCATTACTTTTTAACTTTGAAATTGGATATTCAGTTAGTAATTGGGCTCCCCTGTTTGTGTGTGTATGTTTGCAGAAAAACATGGATGAAGTCGAGCCTTATGATTGTTGGGAGGTCGTCGTGAATGGATGTTTGGAAGACAAAGATTTGGACAATATTCTAAGCATACTGGACTCTCCGGTTGAGGGTTTTGAATGGGACGGGCTTTCTGGGGAATGGGAGGCCAGCAAGTCGAATTGTCTCGGGCCTGTACAGCCCAACGTGCTGACTGATTCGGGCCAGCTGGTTTTACCTCCACTGCCAACTGCCGACGTGAGTTCTTATGTTCACTGATTGATTTTGTGTTGAATCATGTGTAGAGTTCTTATCTATGTGTGCTCGGTAGAGTTTGAAATATATAAAAGTATATTTTTTTGATTAAAAAAAAAAAAGAAAGAAAGAGAAAAAGATGAATCAAATTTTCTCAAGTAGATCGATGTTTTTCGCAACACGAACCAGAATTTTCTCAAGCAGATGTGGTTTATTTATGTTACCGAATTTTCTGTCTTTACTCTTAACATGTGCCAAATGTAACTTAAGAAAACAAAATTGGAACATGGCTCGACTATGTTAACATTCCTGTGAATCGCTTCTTGTATTTTATTAGGTAATATGTTGTAAGAGTTGCATTACTGCTGGATTTATTTGTAATTTCGTCCCTTACATTAGATTTTTGGTGTGGTCTTTTAAGTTGTAATTTTTCTCTCCAAAATTTTTGACTATCTAAGATCACAACGGCCTTCCAGTAAACAATACGAGATGTGGGATCTTTGGAAGAAAACAAAGCTATTAGCGATGTGTGCTTGAGCATTAACAGAAAAACAGAAATGCTGATGTTTGAGATATTAATTGTTAGGTCTAACCGATTAAATTTTCGGTGCGGTAGGTAAAGGTGTCGGTTAACCGCATAATTATCGGTGCAGTTGGTATGATTTGGACTTATTGTGGGTGAGGTTGCATATTGTTATCAACATGACGTAATTATGCACCTGAAAATAAATTTTAAACAGAGCAATTACAAAGTAACTGACAACAAATACGATATGGAAGACTTAAATTGTGTGTGCTTCTACGAGTTGACATTTTCGTTGTTAAAATGAAGGCAAGTTTTAACTGGACATCAAATTTAAGTTCTTGGTTCTAACAAGTTACCTAGTGATACACCATCAGGAACTAGGTCCAAATATAAGTTTTATTTGTAATTGGAAACAAATTTTACATAGCTGTATTTGTTAATTATCCTTGATGACACAATCACTTTCCTGCACTGCATATCAATCAGAGCTCGAGATTCTGCACCTTTCACAATGATGCGCTTTTTTGAAGACATCATTACGTCTTCTTTCTTGCTTATTTCTCATTCAGTTACATGTTTTCTCAACATGCTCATCTAGGTATAGATCAAAACAGAAATTATACCACGTGCTTCACTACTTAAATTCTTTGTCTATAGAAAACAAGTCGATTGTGCAGTTTATGTGACTTGCCTGATTTCTTTTAATTTTATTCAAAAGTACTTCTGCTGCATAAAGCACATGTCGAAAGGTCCAAGTTTCGGAAAAGTTTGTTAAGTCATTTTTTTTTTTTGTTGCATATTTTGCATAAACACGCTGACCCCTTAATTATTCTAATAAAGATTGTGCGAATTTTATTTTTTTTCTGTCTTTTTGGCTCATATCGTCTTTTTTCCATTGTCAAAACACATGTTAAAAGGCTGCTGCACCACTCGAGCAATATCACCAATCGTCCTTCCAACCTAAAGGCACAACCTTTCCTCTGCTTACGAACAAATTCACAGATTCCCGAAAGGAAAAAGTGGCATTCCACACACAAAGCCCTGTTTCCGTGCTTGAAGGCAACAACTGTCGCTCATCCGTCATCAAATCCTGCACTAGCAAGCGAGCTCGGTCCAAACGGGCCCGGCCTTTGGGCCTGAGCCCATGGCTCTTCATGCTGCCTCCATTTGCCGCTACCGGAAAGGCTGGGAAAGCTAAGGGGAGGAGAAAGAAACCATCTCCAATCCCGGGCTCCGAGGGAGATGGATTGCACGACCACACGGAGCCACGGAACGGTGTCAAAAAATGCTCGCATTGTGAAGTTACGAAAACGCCCCAGTGGAGGGAGGGCCCGTTGGGCCCGAAGACCCTCTGCAATGCGTGTGGGGTCCGTTACAGGTCGGGCCGCCTTCTCCCAGAGTACAGACCGGCGGCAAGCCCGACTTTCGTGCCATCAGTTCACTCGAATTCGCACAGGAAGGTGATTCAGATGAGGAACAAGGCAACACAGCAGCCACCGGGCGAAGTTGTGGGGCCCATGTCGATGTTG